GCAGTCAGTTTCCTTCACGAGTGTGCATTTCAGGGCCTGCCCAGTGCCACCACTCACTCACTGGTGTCCCAATAGCTTGCATTTAAAAAAAACAAAACTTTTTGGACTGTAATATATTAGCAGTCAGTTTCCTTCACGTGTGTGCGTTTCAGGGCCTGCCCAGTGCCACCACTCACTCACTGGTGTCCCAATAGCTTGCATTTAAAAAAAACAAAACTTTTTGGACTGTAATATAATAGCAGTCAGTTTCCTTCACGAGTGTGCGTTTCAGGGCCTGCCCAGTGCCACCATCACTCACTGGTGTCAATAGCTTGCATTTAAAAAAAACTAAACTTTTTGGACTGTAATATAATTCAGTTTCCTTCACGAGTGTGCGTTTCAGGGCCTGCCCAGTGCCACCACTCACTCACTGGTGTCCCAATAGCTTGCATTTAAAAAAAACTAAACTTTTTGGACTGTAATATAATAGCAGTCCGTTTCCTTCACTAGTGTGCGTTTCAGGGCCTGCCCAGTGCCACCACTCACTCACTGGTGTCCCAATAGCTTGCATTTAAAAAAAACAAAACTTTTTTGACTGTAATATAATAGCAGTCAGTTTCCTTCACGAGTGTGCATTTCAGGGCCTGCCCAGTGCCACCACTCACTCACTGGTGTCACAATAGCTTGCATTTAAAAAAACAAAAACTTTTTTGACTGTAATATAATAGCAGTCAGTTTCCTTCACGAGTGTGCGTTTCAGGGCCTGCCCAGTGCCACCACTCACTCACTGGTGTCACAATAGCTTGCATTTAAAAAAACAAAAAACTTTTTGGACTGTAAACTTTTTAGCACTGTCAGTTTAACCTAATCAGTTTCCTTCACGAGTGTGCGTTTCAGGGCCTGCCAGGGCACAGTGCCACCACTCACTCACTGGTGTCACAATAGTGCATTTAAAAAAAAAAACTTTTTGACTGTAATATAATAGCAATAGTTTCTTCACTAGGGTGCCCAGTGCCACCACTCACTCACGGTGTCACAATAGCTTGCATTTAAAAAAAAAAAACATTTTGGACTGTAAATAAAGCAGTCAGTTTTTTTTGACTGTAATACAGTTTTTCGTGTGCATTTCAGGGCCTGCCCAGTGCCACCACTCACTCCTGGTGTCACAATAGCTTGCATTTAGAAAAAAAAAAACTTTTTGGACTGTAATATTGAATAGCAGTTAGTTGTCTTCACTGGTGTCAGCTCACAGCGTATACTGTGCCCACTTGCCCAGTGCCACCACTCATCCGGTGTCACAATAGCTTGCATTTAACAAAAAAAAAAAACTTTTTGGACTGTAATATAATAGCAGTCAGTTTCCTTCACACGTGTGCATTTCAGGGCCTGCCAGGGCACAGTGTCACACCAGTGCAACTCATATCTGGTGTAACAGTAGTGTACATTTAAAAAAAAAAAAATACATTTTTGACTGTAATAGATTGAATAGCAGTTAGTTGTCTGCAAGCGTGTGTATCAGGCCTACAGCGTCTACTCTGCCAACTTCTGCCACTGCACAGTGCCACTCATATCTGTTGTCACAGTAGCTTGCACGCATAGTACCACTAATCGAAAAAACAAATGACAGGCAGAGGCAGGCCACCCCGCAGGGGCCGTCGTGGTCGTGGTGCTGTGATTCCCTTTGGCCCTAGAATAATGCCCAGTGTTCAGAGGCCACGTACCCTGAACTCGAAAAGTTCCGAGGACATAGTTGACTGGCTAACACAGGACACCCAATCTTCTACAGCTTCCGCTCAGAACCTTGACGCACCATCCTCCTCCAGCTTAGCTTCGGGCACCTCTCAAGTTACCACTCGCCCACCTGCTTTGCGAAGGCACATGATCGCACATCACAAACGCCTATGGGATCAACACATGAGTACAAGCAGCACACAAACTCAAAGCAGCCATCCTCCTCCTGGTCCAGCATCTTCAGCCATGTTAACCACTGCTGTCCTCCTTGCCCCCTCTCAACCATCCGCCCCTCCGTCTCTCGCCTTGAGCAGTTCCTGCTCATCTGCCCACAGTCAGGTGTCTGTCAAGGACATGTTTGAGCGTAAGAAGCCAATGTCACAAAGTCACCCCCTTGCCCGCCGTCTGACAGCTGGCTTGACAGAACTCTTAGCCCGCCAGCTTTTAGCATACAAGCTGGTGGAGTCTGAGGCATTCAAAAAATTTGTAGCTATTGAGACACCGCAGTGGAAGGTACCCGGCCGAAATTTGCACAAAAGGCAATCCCCAACTTGTACTCGATTGTGCAAAAGGAAGTAATGGCATGTCTGGCACACAGTGTTGGGGCAAGGGTCCATCTGACCACTGATACCTGGTCTGCACATTGGGTAAACCTGCTGACGGCTGCCAAGCCTGGAATGCGTGGCTCTGCAGAGGAGTTGGTGACACCGCCACGACTTGCAGGCAGGCCTGCTGCCACCTCCTCTACTCCTCCTACTCCATCCTCTTCCATAACCTCCTTGGCTGAGTCCTCTTCTGCTGCTGCGTCTTGCTCCACATCAACGGCACCCCCCCAGCTCCCCAGGTACTATTCCACATCCCGGATACGGCAGTGTCATGCCGTCTTGGGGTTGACTTGCCTGAAAGCAGAGAGTCACACCGGACCAACACTCCTGTCAGCCCTGAACGCACAGGTGGATCAGTGGCTGACTCCGCACCAACTGGAGATCGGCAAAGTGGTTTGTGACAACGGAAGAAATTTGTTGGCGGCATTGCATTTGGGCAAGTTGACACATGTGCCGTGCATGGCACATGTGTGTAATCTGATCGTACAATGCTTTGTGCATAAGTACCAAGGCTTACAGGACGTCCTGAAGCAGGCCAGGAAGGTGTGTGGCCATTTCAGGCGTTCCTACATGGCCATGGCGCACTTTTCAGATATCCAGCGGCGAAAAAACATGCCAGTGAGGCGCTTGATTTGCGACAGCCTGAATCGTTGGAATTCAACACTCCTAATGTTCGACTGCCTGCTCCAACAAGAAAAAGCCGTTAATGAATATTTGTATGACCGGGTGCTAGGACAGCCTCTGGGGAGCTGGGAATTTTTTTGCCACGTTACTGGACGCTCATGCGCAATGCCTGTAGGCTCATGCGTCCTTTTGAGGAGGTGACAAATTTAGTCAGTCGCACCGAAGGCACCATCAGCGACATCATACCATTTGTTTTCTTCCTGGAGCGTGCCCTGCGAAGAGTGCTGGATCAGGCCGTAGATGAGCGTGAAGAGGAAGAGGAAGAGGAAGAGTTGTGGTCACCATCACCACCAGAAACAGCCTTATCAGCATCGCTTGCTGGACCTGCGGCAACGCTGGAAGAGGATTGTGAGGAAGAGGAGTCAGAGGAGGAATGTGGCTTTGAGGAGGAGGAGGAAGACCAACCACAACAGGCATCCCAGGGTGCTCGTTGTCACCTATCTGGTACCCGTGGTGTTGTACGTGGCTGGGGGGAAGAACATACCTTCAGTGAGATCACTGAGGACGAGGAACAGGACATGAGTAGCTCGGCATCCAACCTTGTGCAAATGGGGTCTTTCATGCTGTCGTGCCTGTTGAGGGACCCTCGTATAAAAAGGCTGAAGGAGAACGACCTGTACTGGGTGTCCACGCTACTAGACCCCCGGTATAAGCAGAAAGTGCCTGAAATGTTACCAAATTACGGCAAGTCGGAAAGGATGCAGCAGTTCCAAAATCAATTAAAAAGTATGCTTTACACAGCGTATAAGGGTGATGTCACAGCACAAAGGGAATCTAACAGGGGAAGAGGTGAAAGTAATCCTCCTCCTCCCACGACCACGCCGGCAAGGACAGGACGCTTTACAGACGTGTTGTTGATGGAGGACATGCGGAGCTTTTTTTAATTAAAATTTTTTATTTTATTCATTTTTCAGAATTGTACAAAAGCAATTGGTGTAGCGAGTTTACAAACATGGTATACTACAAATTAAACAGTACAGTATGATGTAACAGTAGAGTTGTTTCCCGAATAACAATTTACAGTTGGACTATGAAGTGAGTAGCAACTCCTCACAATGAGGATGTTAAAGAGGCAAGGAAAATATAGTCGGCGTGAGTCGCCGTCTAAGGCTGGTGGCAAAGAGAGAGAAAGAAAAACATCAGGACAATTCTTTTCTATATTCGTGAATGTAACACATTGCTAACTACGGTATATATTAAACCTCAAGTGTCGTTCGAGGAACTAGACTTCAATACCATTGTGAATATCTGTGGTTATTTGGCCGTTCGGTTGTAGGACCAAGTCTCGAAATATTGAAGGGGGAGTGTAAGTGGGTTGAGGGGGGGGGGATAGGACCGTGAGTATGACCATCCCTCTGAAGGTGGAGGGAACTAAATGTCTTGTCGGATAGCTCGACTAAGGTGTCGTTCCCACCCGTGTTGCCTGGAGGAGAGGCTTTGCCATGGGGTGAAGCGCTGAAAATATATGTTAGTCTAGGACTGAGAGGTTTTGTTGAGTATAAAGTTGTTCCATGGCTCCCAGATGGTCACAAATTGTCCCTTTTTCCCCTGCTTTGCTAGTGCGATTTCTTCCATTAATTTAATGGATTCAGCTCTCGAAATCCATTCTCTAAGTGCGGGGGGGAAGCCTGTTTCCAGTATTTGGGTATCAATTGTGAGGCCGCCATTGCAAGGTGGCGGAACAAAGTCGTCTCTTGTTTCGTGAAAGTTGGTGGGGTGAGGAGGAAAATGTATTGGTCCGGCGTACATGGGAAGGATTTGCGGAATATCATCTGGATGAGCGAGTGTATCCTGTTCCAGAATTTGGAAATAATTGGGCATTGCCACCAAATATGTGAGTGGTGGGCAGCCGAAGCCGCGCACCTCCAACATATGTCCGGTGATGTGTCGTAGAATTGATGGAGTTTAGTCGGTGTGTTGTGCCATCGAGTCAAACGTTTAAAGTTACACTCTTGAGCGTGGACTGAGACTGAGGATTTGTGCGTAGTGGTGAAGATTTCCCGCCACTGTTGTTTGGTAAAATCGAGTTTCAGTTCGTCTGACCACTTCAGGGTGTAACTAGGGGGGTTTGCGGGAACGTATCCCTGAGTGTGGAGTGGAGAGAGGAGAGGATTTTCTTTTTTGGCGATAGTGTAGTGCATATTTGTTCAAACTCGGTAAGGGGTCTGTTACCTTTTGGAAGTAGTGTCTGAGTGTTAATGAAATGTTTCATCTGATTGTAGTAGAAATACTGGTTCCCTGTGTGGGATTTGGAGGAGGTAAGTTCTTGCAGGGATTTTAGTTTGCCATCGCTTAGTGCGTCCATAAGTTTTAGGAACGGGCCTTCATATTGTAGGCCGAGTTGTTTCCCTGATGTTCCCTGATGTAGATTGGAGTTAAGAGTTAAAGGGTATAAAGGGGATGGGAAGGGTGAAATATCTGTTTTTGCCCGTAGTTTGAACCAGATGTTTAGCGTTGTGGATATCGTGGGGTGCTTGCCTGTCAGACCTGTGTGTTGAATGGCTTGGTGAAGCCAGGGGTAGGTACTTAGTGGTGAAATTGCAAAGTTATTTTCTAGGTGGACCCATTGTTGGATACCTGAAGTCTTAGTCCATTCGTAAATTCTTTGTAGGTGTATAGCTTTGTGGTATGTGTCTATGTCTGGAAGATTCAGTCCCCCTTGATCTTGCCGTCTAATCAGTGTTTGATAAGCTAGGCGGGAGGGCGTGTGAGCCCATATGTATTTCAGGAATAAAGATC